GATGAACTTCTTGTGGCAGGGCACAGTTTTCACCTCTGTGGGCCTAACGTTTACATACCCTTCTCTTCACTCCACACTGGGTTGGCACATCCGTGACTCATGTGTTTACAATTTGGGTGTACAGTTTTGCCCTCATTTAGGGTATATTAGGGTTTCCTTTTATGTCATTCTATCTTAACTCTGTACTTAAAATTATGTTTATTAGGTCCCATTTGGAAGTTGTAGACATTTATATCCAGTGCTCAAGTCATACAATCTGTAGTCTTTGCATTTATTATGCAAAACTTGATGAAATTTTTAATAAAACAAAAATTATTTAAGTATACTTGTGAGGTCTGAAAATTAAGTTTGCAAAGTTGCCACTGTGTGCATACATTGGTAGCACTGTACAAGCAACTCCATAAGGTTTCACAACATTGGTATATCAGTTTCTCACAGCTGTGTTCATGGTGACATGTGGTTCATGTCTTGCTAAGTGGCATTCATTATTGTTGCATGTTTTTGTGTGCCATCTTGAGAATGTTGGAGCTCAAATTAGAGCAACAAACATTAAATTCTTGTTAAACCTGGGAAGGGTGGAAATAAAATCAGGGACATGTTAGTCTAAACTTATGGGGATGATACCATAAAAATAGCAGTGTACAAATGGATTAAATGTTTTTCTGAGGGGAAAGAAAACATCACTGATAAGGAGAGGTCAGGGTGGCCAGTAAGAAGCAGAACTGACAAAACAAAAATTCACTGAAATGTGTATCAAAATCATTGGCTGTGAGAATCACAGCAGACCAAGTAAACATTTATAGAGAAACAGGAAAAATTTAAAGAAAATCTTGGCATAGAAAGGTGTGTGCAAAATATTCCCAAGGAGCTCACAATAAACTGAAGAAAAGGAGAGTTTAAGTTTGCTGAGACCTTTTGGAGAGGCCAGATGATGTTTTGGGCCAGGTTATCACTGATGATGAAACATGGGTGTACCAATATGACTCTGAAACAAAGTGTCAAAGTACACAATGGAAATCAGCCAATTCTTCATGACCAAAAATTTCCGCCAGTCCAAATCAAGTGTCAAAATGTTGCTAAAGTTTTTTTGATAGCAGAGGGATTCTTAGTTATGACTATGTGCTAACTGGATAAACAGTTAACCAAGTCTACTATTTGGAAGTGCTGAAAAGGGTGTTTGAAAAGTTAGATAAAAATAACCTGAACTTTTCACCAACAATTCATGGCTCTTGTATCACAACAATGCACCAGCTCACACAGTACTCTCTGTGAGGGAGTTTTTAGCCAGTAAACAAATAACCATATTGGGACACACCCCCTATTGACCTTCTAGCCCTCAGCGACTTTTTAATCTGAAGATAAAGGAAACACTGAAAGGAAGACATTTTGATGACATTCAGGACATCAAGGGTAATATTACAGCAGCTCTGATGGCCATTCCAGAAAAAGAGTTCCAAAACTGCTTTGAAGGGTGGAGTGGGCACTGGTGTCTGTCCATAGCTTCCCAAGGTGAGCACTTGGAAGGAGACCATAGTGATATTCACCAATGATGTATGTAACACTTTTTCTAGAATGAGTTCATGAACTTAATTGTCAGAACTTATATTTCATGTCTAAACTGTTTCTATTTTATTTTTTGAGATAGAGTTTTTATTTTATTTTTTGAGATAGAATCTCACTTTGTTGCCCCTGGTAGCGTGCTATGGCATCATAGCTCACAGCAAGCTCGAATTCCTGGGCTTAGGCAATTCTCTCGCCTCAGAACTCCCAAGTAGCTGAGACTATAGGCACCTGCCATAACACCTGGCTATTTTTTTTTTTTTTTAGAGACAGAGTTTTACTTTATTGCCCTCAGTAGAGTGCTATGGCATCACATCTCACAGCAACCTCCAACTCCTGGGCTTAGGCAATTTTCTTGCCTCAGCCTCCCAAGTAGCTGTGATTACAGGTGCCCGCCACAACCCCTGGCTAGGCTATTTTTTTGTTGTTGCAGTTTGGCCAGGGCCGAGTTAGAACCCACCACCCTCGGTATATGGGGCCGGTGCTCTACCCACTGAACCACAAGCGCTGCCAACACCTGGCTATTTTTAGAGACAGGGTCTGGCTCTTGCTCAGGCTGGTCTCGAACCGGTAAACTCAGGTAATCTACCTGCCTCAGCCTCCCAAGAGTGCTAGGATTTATAGGTGTGAGCCACTGCACCCGGCCTTAAACTATGTTTTTAATTATTTTTAAATGATCAATATAAATTGTACAATGCTTTGGGTTAAAAGAAACTTGACGATTATGCCAAAATCAGGAACTTCACTTTCTAGCTGTCAAGAATAAAGGCCTCTTTATGATTTCTTAGCCTACTGTCACATTTTAAGCAGACTGCTGAGGGGCAGCAAAGCAGGGTTCCCAGTCAGCCTGTGGATGACAGTGACCCCTCATTCCATAGTTCTTATCTGGTCTCCCTAATAACTGACTGGGAACCTCCTCTGACCTTCTGAGGCAGAACATCAACTTCCTACCCTCACCTTCTCCTCCCCATGGTGAATGGGACCAAAGCCAGAGACCAAGGCATCCTCTATTTAGGGAACCATGGTCAGGGGTTCTGGCCATGACATTCAACAGTCTGGTGTGCAGAGCGTGTGGGTGAGAGAGAGTGTGAAGGCACAAGAGAGGACAAGAGGGGGTGGGGGGAAGAGAGATTCCTTGAGCTGGCAAATGCCAGAGGATGCCCTGCTTGGCTTCCAAGCTGGACACGTGTCTCCTGGGGAAGGTATATAAGACGTATGGAGGAGAGGTCAGGGACAGAAAGTAGTGTGGCATCATCCTCCTATGGGAGACCTACACCCAGCCCTTCTTCATGTCTCATTCTTGTGGCAAAATTAAGGTCACTTGTACATTTTCATTTTCTTAAAAAGATTATCATCAAAATGAAAAAGACTGAAAGCATGAGCTAAAATTAAAATGTTAACATTATCTTAACTCTGGCTGGTGGGAATACGGGTGTTAGCATGGCTCAACCAGTATTAGATGGACTTTGCTCTGGGACCCAGAACACAACCACAGGCAGGGCCCATCATTTCCTTACCTCTTGCCCAGCCAAGAAAAGATGCAAGGAGAAAATATCCAACATCCGTTTTTCTTTGATATGCCACAATTCTTCTCCCAGACCTTCCTATCTTCACATGAAGGTCATTTAGTTTTATATGATCTCAAATCACATAAAACTAAATGACATAAACCATGTTTATATTCTGCTGCAAATATCTTTGATTTTGGATTCTCTTTCCAAATATCAGTTTATTACCACAAAATCAAACTTCTCTGGAATCTTCTGTTCCTACTTCTCAAGGATGGTCAGCTCTCTGGTCCAAGTTGGAAAGGAAGGAGTGAGGGAGCTGATCAGATAGGCCCACGGAGGATGTGTTCAGAAGCATCAGCCACAAAGATGCAAGGTCTAATAATGGGAGCCACCAAACTGCTCGGTGCTGGTTAGGTTTTATTTTAACAGGATGTTTTCTGTTCATTTGTTTTTCAAAATATCAGTTATATTAATATTAGAAGTGTAAACAGGTACAAAATATACAGTACATAGAAACAATTTTCTTAACTAGTCTATTGCCTAATAGAAGTATGCATGAGGGAGCTGAAAGAACAATGGCCACGGCCTCCCCCTCCGCAGGGGAGACAAGGTGCCCATTTTGGGCTAAAGGACCAGTGGCTATTTCAACAAAACAGGAATGGATATCTGTGTGGTCAGGACAGCCTGTGGTAGAATCAAGAAATCCGGGCCGACCTTTAAGACATCAGACACAAGGATGAACAGTCCGTCATATAGCCTCTGAAGCTGTGCTTTCTAGGATGCCCAAGGGTGGCTGAGCCCTGGTGCTCAGAAGCAGCTGCTACAAGCAGAAGTTCCTTTGAGGCCTGATGATTTGACTTTGATTGTTGTGGGACAGATCTTTTAAAAGAGCAGAAATGGAAACCTTCCCCAACAGATGTTCCAGGAGAATGAGCTGTGTCTCACCTAGGCTCTTCCCAACTCTTGGCACACCACTGTGTAGCCGAGGTGAGAAGCTGAGATGTGTCCTCTTGCAGCGGTTATTACATTTCTCAGAAGAAATCCCTGTCCTGCTGCTTCCCAAAGTCACAGTAATGCTGAGATGATAGATGGAAGAATTCTGAAAATGAGAAAGCACTACACAGAGGAGACAGGAAACAGAGGCCTCTGCTGGGAGTCGGCAGCAGCCCCTGGTGAGGGCAGGAAGGCTGGGCTGGTCTCTGAGCTCTGCAGGGAACTAGGTGTTGGGGGGTTCAACTCCCTGAGCCTCAGGTTCTTCACCCCTCCAAAGCTAACTCCATGCTCTGACAGCCCTCCCTCACCAGGCCCAGGAGTCACCCCCCCCTACCCCCGAAGTAGGGAAAGGATGGGGCCAGCTCTTTGAGAGGGGGCCTTTTCTGATGGAGGTGAGTTGAGAAATGTAACCGCTGCTCTTGAACTATCTTCCCAGTTGCTCTGAAGTAGATGGGCTCCAGGGCACCTCGGCCCTCACTGCCCAGGGGTTTAGCGTTCCAGCCTGGGATTAGCCTGCCTGAACCTTGCAGGGCCTCGACCTTTTGGGACTGTGTGGTCGGCAAGACCCCATCCCCAGGAGTCAGTGGGGCGGGGGTCGCCTCAGTTGGCCAACCTTCCAATACACTCAGATCAGACTCGGTGAGACACAGCAACGCAAACGCACGCCCTGAAAACCAAAAGTGTGCTACAAAATTTAAACTGGCACTACTACTATTTTCCAGCTTTTTCCTCAAGAATTAAAAAAAAATAATAAAAACAACTTGTTTGCAATTAAATTACTTAAAATTCTATGCTGCTCGGATTTCACAATCAGAGAATTCTACTTTGTTTAGAGGTGGAAGCTGCATTGTTTGGTAGTTTCTCTTTTCCCAGTATCAGCTCAGCAATGTGGAAAGTCGGCTCCTCAGTCTCCATTTTCGCCTCTGAGCTTGAAAGGCCACCTAGCTGTCCATGGACCAACGGGGCTTTTTACAGGTGAGGCCAGCAGGGGCTGTGAATTTGGGGACACTCACAGGTCCCCGCCCTCGGCAGGTCCCAGGGCATTGAGACCACAAGTCCAGTCGGTCACTAGGTCTGTGGAGGCCAAGGGTCCTTTGGGGGCAGGGCTCTTGAAGGGGTCCGGAGGTCCGGTGGGCAGCGGCGGGCAGCGGCTGGCCACGAGCCGGCACCTTGGCCCCCGCTGTGTGGTTGCGCTGGTGCTTGCGGAGGTGGTCCTTGCGGATGAAGCTCTTGCCGCACACGGTGCAGGTGAAGGGCCGCACGCCTGTGTGTGTTCGATAGTGGTCGATGAGCTTGGAGCGTTCGGTGAAGCGCTTCTCGCACTCGGTGCAGGGGAAGGGCCTCTCACCCGTGTGGAGCATACGGTGGCGGATGAGGTGCGCCGGGCGCGTGAAGCAGCGGCCACACTCTCCGCACCGCAGGGCGCTACCGTCCCGCGCGCTGCCTGCTGTCCCCGCCGTCGCTGCCCCTGTCCCAGAGCCCGCTGCTGCTGCCCCATCGGGCAGCCCGCAGCTGCGCTGATGCGCGCTCAAGCTGACCTGCAGCTGGAAGCTCTTCCCGCAGGTGGCGCAGGTGAAGGGTCGGCCCCCTGGGGGCGCCGCTGGGTGCTTCTTCAGCCCCGGCTTGTGGCCAAAGCCTTTGGTCCGGCCAGGGTATTTACAGGGATCGTTAAAGGGCCTGGTGGCCTGGCTGGGGTCCAGGACAGCCTCACCATTGTCTGGGGAAGAGTAAGGAAGCCCCTCAGGCCCAGTCCTTGGGTTCAGGCCGACTGGCGGTTTACAACGAAAATTCCAGCCCCACCGGACCCCACCAAAGAGCCATTCCCCAGGAGGGGTCTCCTCCTGGGCCACAGCAGGACTGAGCTCACCCATGTCTCTCTCAGGCCGGGCAGGCTCCCGCAGCCCCAGCACAGGGTCCTGGCTGGGGAAAGAACTGCCCTGGCTCTCCCAGGCACCTTCCTGGCCAGGACTAGGGAAAAACCTTGCAGCTTGGCCTGGTGCAAACAAGGTCCCGTGAGCCTCTAGGTCAGTAGAATGCACGGGTGTGGCCACCACCTCCTCTTCCTGGACTTCTGTTTTTATCACAATTTTTACATCTGCTGAGAAAGAAAGACAGAGATCATGCTGCCGGTCATCTGCCCAGAGAGCTACAAGTTTGATACTACCATGTGGCCTCTGGGCAGCTGCTTAGCCCAACACTCCTGGGCCCTAGTGGCCCAGCTTCAGGATGGCTGCTCAGCACAGCACCCCCACTGGGGAAACCTGATCTTCTGGCAACCTTCATTACAGTAAAAGCAACCATGAAATCTGCTCCTCCAGTTCCATTTTTACTTTGGCTGTTAAGACTCATCACGAATGTATCCTAGGAAAGGACCATTGGTGACTTGCTCAAGGTGCAAAGCAGGGGCTTGTGTTCAGTGGGATCTGGGACTGCCACAGCTGTTTTTTGTTTTTTGTTTTTTTTAATTTCAGGCTAATTTGACAGACAAAGAATTAGGTTACAATGTTTGCATTTGCTAGGTATCATCCCTGTGGTGGTTAAGTCCTGTCCCCAGGAGGTGTGCCATATAGCCCCACACTGTGCCCATTAAGTGAGAGCACACCAATCCCCCTTGTCCTCCCCTCTTCTTGGCTTACTTATATCAGGGATCTTACCACAATTTCTGGAGTGCTAAAATATGATATAAATTACTTAAAGTAACAGGTAACTGGCCTTCAAAACTAAGTAAACAGAAAAATAACAAATTCTGAATGCTAGCCTTCAGACACCTGTCTCTAGTGGTACCAATGTCTAAGACATGGTTCTGGTTCATTCTGTTTTCCTCCATGCTGCCCGAGTCCCAGAGGAGGAATACTCTCCAAGACATCAGCTTATCAGAAGACATGGGTTAACTCTCTATGGAAAAGGAGTCATCTGAAACAAGGAAGCCTCAAGGAAGGCTGTGGAAGCCTAAGATTTGGGAAGGAGATAGAGAACAGAATGGATGGAGAACCGAAAGCCATCCTAATGTCTGTTGGCTGGAAGGTCAGGGCAGTTCAATAAAAATGGCCACCTGGGCTGAGGCATCTCCCAGCCAAGCACTGGCCTTTCTCCTCCTCCTCTCTGAACCCCCATACCTTCTGTGGAGGCTGCGGTGTTGAGCTTCAGGGTCCCGTCTGAGCATGCTGAAGAAGGGTGGTGGGGAGGGAGATCCGCCTGCCAGGAGGTGGGCGGGATGGTTGTTGAGAAGCTGGAATGGACACCTACAAGGAAGGGAGAGCAGACTGAGGGTTAGGGGGAGCAAGTGGGGATGAGAAGCAGAAGAAAACTGTGGGAGAGGAGGGCAGGCAAAGCCGAGATCCCTACTGGGGACTTCTTTAAGTGACAATAAGGACTCAGCCTCACTGAACCCAGTGTTCTTCACCCCTTCTCTGAAGCACTGGGAAGCTCAGACCTCACCAACTCGTCTCAGGCAGCCTCTTTTGAATAGGAGGCCGCCAATAACTTCAATGCCCACCACTGGGGTTACAAAGAATAGCTGTATGGTTGAAGAAGGGGGCCACTGGTACTAAGAAAAGCCTGGAAACAGCATCACTGGCCTCAGAGGGGCCATGAGGTGTCCACTGGTTTAACCCCTGTCTCAAAGTGGGACAACTTCTACAGTGACCACAGATACTATGTGCTCCTGGAGCCCTCCCTGTTTCTGACCATGGGAAAACTTGTTCCTTGTGTCTGCTCCCCTGCCTTAGCCACTTACCAGAGGTTGTGTCCGTAGAGATGTCTCCTGCTCCAGAGTCCAGCTGGCTGAGGCCCCAGGGTTCTTCCCCAATATCTGGCTGCCCAGCTGCCCATGCCTCCACACCCAGAGCCTGTTGCTCCTGGAGCTGGAGCTCATTCTCCTGCTTGATCTGCATTAAGAGGTCAGGGGCAGGGACCGGGGCCCCCGAGCCTAGGAAAGGGAGAGTGTGTGAGCACACAGCATCCTGGCCCATCTCTTGGCCCTGGGTTGAACACACACCCAGCCAAGGATAGGACACAGGGGCCTTACGAGGGTCCAACAGCAAAGGAGCCTGGCAGGAAGGGAAGACAAGAGCAAACAGGCCTCTGGGGCCTCTGGGTGAAGCATGAGGTCACATGGCACTAGGAACTTGGGTAGGGTAGGAAAGGGTGAGGTGGGGAGGGCATAAGTAAGCTCATTCTCAGGGCTATGCCACTGGTCCACAGGGGAGATTGAGCTGCTCAGTTGAATTGCAGAAATGCCAGAAAAAATATAACTCCAAGTCCCCCAAAAAACTTATCCTTCTGCATGTATTTAAATGAGCTCAAAAGGAAGATTCTAGATATGAGAATTGAAGAGAAAACCCAAGTCTAATTAAGAGTTATAGTGAAAGGCAAGTGGCTCATAGAATTGTTGGAAGAGAATACAGGCCTTAGGGGCTGGACTTGTGTGTCCATGTGAGGCTGAGAGCGGGTCCAAGCTGCTTGCACAAAGCCAGGAGGCATAGGGCTCTGTCCCACCAGTGACTAGGAAAACTCCATCCACCATGGGAGCTACCAGGAAGTTGCCTACTTGTCTAGGGCTATGCTTGAGGAAGTGACCCATAAAAAACCAGAATTGCTAACATTCATACCCTTGTATCAATTTGAAATGTAAAAAAAAAAAATCAGAATCGCAAATCCATATAGAATTCAAACTATCCACGTAGAGCAGAGACTCTAAGCTGAGAAATTCACAAAAAAATCAATTGACAGCCATGGCAACTCAAAAGTCTCCAGCATAACTTTACGTCCTTCATGTTCACATGGATGGAGCTGGAGAATGTTCTTCTGAGCAAAGTATCACAAGAATGGAGGAAAAAGTATCCAATGTACACACCCCTATTATGAAATTAATTTATACCTTTTATATGAAAGCTATAACCAAATAGCCTAAGAATATGGGGAGGGGGGAAGGAGAAGGGAAGGGGAATGGGTGGAGGGAGGGGGATTGGAGGGATCACTTCTGAGGTTTATCTTACAGGGGTACAAGTGAATCTTTCTAAGAGTAGAATGTGAATGTTTTAAAACAATAACGGAGAAAATGACATGAAAGCTGTGTTGACCAGTTTGATGGAAGTATTTCGGATTGCATGTGAAAACCCCACACTGTACCCCAGAAGTGCATTAATGTACATAGTTACCATTCAATAAAAAAAAAAAAGTTTCCAGCATAGGCAAAAGCAATCTGCCCTAGAGGCATGCCCACAGTGCAGTCCACAAGGGGCTCCCTTATAAATGAAAACCAGAAGAAAAACTAAAGCTTACAAACCAGAAGAGAAGCCAAACAGCCATGAGAGTCATGGCAGATTTCACTCTTAAGAACTACAGAAAAAAAGGATAGGCTGAATGATACAGTAACAGAAGTATGTCTAAAGTCATCAAAGAAATAAAGGAAGGAACAGGTGAGAACATAAAATTATGTCTCTTAAGGTGAGAACATAAAATTATTTTTTACAAGTCACATTTGAAAAATAACTTTAGACATTCTAAAATAACAAAAGTACTTCTGAAAATGAAAAACCCAATGGATTAATAATAGACTGAACATCACTGAAGAGAAGATCAGTAACTTAGAAGATGGATTTGGGGAAATAATCCAGATATAGCACTGAAAGATAAGGAAATGAAAAGTATTAAAAAATTAAGGGACATGGAAGATAGAATGAGAATTTCTAAGACATGCTGATAGAAATCCCAAGAGAGAATAGAGAAATGGGTAAATGGTGATAGGTAAAGAAATAATAGCTTAGAATTCTCTAAAATTAGAGGCGTTATGGGCTCATGCTTTAGGAACATACCAATTCCCAATTAGGAAATAAAAACAAAAAATTAAACAAACAAACCCAGACAACATCATGTGAGATGGAACAGCAGAAAAATTTTAAAAGATACCAAAGAGAAAAGAATGACATTTTCAGACTCAAAGTAATCAGCATTCTTCAGCAACCGGGATACCAGAAACTAAAGGAATATCTTCAAAATGCTAAGAACAAATATCTATATCTCTTTTTATGAGACTAGTGTAATTCTGATTATACAAATAACAGGGAGCTTATCTGAAAAAGTTCATAAAAAAATCTCATTCATGAACAAATATGCAAAGATTCTAAATGAAAGAATTGCAAATCAAACCCAGCAATGTATTTGTGAAAAGGAAAAAGAGATAATATATCATGAACAAGCTGGATTGATCCTGAGAACTCAAGGATAACATTAGAATACATAGTATTATAACTCATAAAGTTAAATAGACAGTATTATAACTTGCAAAAACAACATAATCATCTTAACAGACAGAAAAATAGCTTTCTATTTCTGGCACACGGGTGGCTAGATGTACAGAGAAATTCCTCCTGGTGTGGAGCATCTAAAAATGCTGAGTGAAGTATAGAAATAAAAAATATTTTAAGCAAGGATGACCTGCAAATAAAGCAAGGAAATCAAAGAGAAGCTAGAGACTGTAAGAAAGCCTAAATCTGTGGTGGTAAGTTGGAGGTGGGTTCCTGATCTCCTGATGCCTGGTTTAGGTGGACTGTGCATGTTTAGGGTAGACTGTAACAAGCCTGGGGTCAAGCAACCTTCTGTCCCCTCCACACACACATAAATCTTGGGACCCCAAAGGGCAAAATTTTCAGTGGACTAAACCTACTATAAAAAAGCCCAAACCCGCTCCACAGAAGGAGACTGCCTGTTCTGCCCAAGGTGGGAGGAGAAGAATCTTCTTTGGGAGTTGACACCCACAAGCCGGGACTGAAGGGTGTCCGGTACTAGGCCTCACAGCATCATCAAGGCTCGAAAACCTCTGGGCTAAGCCTGGAGTGGCCCTGAGTCTGTGCTGACATGAGATGACCAACAGAGGCAAACACACACACACACACACACACACACAAATTCTCAGGAGGAAAGCATTTTAAACCTTTCAAGTATGCATTACCACCTCAATATGAAAACCAGCTATCTCAAAAAAACTCAGTAGAAATCATCAACTGGGGAATGGACCAGCAGATTTTGGATATAGGAAATATCAAGTAGAGAATGTAATGTTTAATATATTTAGAGAAAGAAAAGTAGGGAGGTAAAGTGTGAGAAACAAGAGACAATCAAAACTGACCAAATTTTGAAAAAGAATCAAATATAACTTTAGAATATTAAGATAAAATAATTTAAATTTAAAAATTCAATCTATAGGTTAAATAACAGAATGGAAACAATTGCATAAGATGTGGTGGACTAACTAGTAGATCAGAAGAAATTATTCCAATCTGAGCAGCATAGAGACTGAGCTGAAAATATAAAGAGGAGCTCAAAGTCAAAAGGGCTAATATGAGAAAGTTCCAGAATAAAAGACAAATTTTCTCCAATTGGTGACACATATAGATGATTGAAACAGGATAAGGAGAAAGAAATCCACACCTAGACACATTATAGCAAAACTGCAAATCACCAAAGAAAATCAAAAGCTGGCTGAGGATACACATATCCTCCTGTACACTAAATCATCTCTAGATCCCTTATGACACTTAATACAATGTAAATTCTATGTAGACAGTTATTCAACTATGTTGTTCAGAGAATAATTTTTTTAAAAAGTCCCTCCATGTTTAGTACAGATACTTTCTTTATTTTTCCCCAATATTTTTAACCCATAGTTAGTTGAATCTATGAATATGGAACCCATGGATACAGACGGCTGACTGTATAAGGATGGAAATAAAGATATCTGCAGACATATACTAACATACACACACACACACACACACACACACACACACGAGTGAGAGCTCATTACCATCAGACCCACAAAAAATAACCTCTAAAGTGGTAGTCCCCAGTATTTTTGGCACCAGGGACTGGTTTCAGGGAAGACAATTTTTCCATGGATGGGGTGGGGGATGGGTGGAGCAAGGGAGGAAGAGTATTACACTCTCATAAAGAGCACGCAACCTAGACCTCTCACACGTGCAGTTTACAGTGGGGTTTGTGCTCCTATGAGCATCTAATGCCACTGCTGATCTTATAGGAGGAGGAGCACAGAGATGTGAGCCATGGGGAGCAGCTGCAAACACAGACGAAGCTTTGCTTGTCCATCGCTCACATTCTGCTGTGTGGCCTGGCTCCTAACCAGCCATGGACCAGTACTGGACCATGGACCAGAAGTTGGGGACCACAGTTTTAAAGGAAGAAAAAAACTTCTGAAGTCTCCTCTAAAAGAACAGAAATAGAATGTATAACTTTAAAACGAATTAAAAATAACAATAGTTTGAGAAGGAAAAAAAAAAAAAACCCTAAATGAACGATTGCCAAAGGAGGGAGTGGGGGAAAAAATACAGAAAAGACAGGACTAAGAATTAAATAGCATAATTTAAAATGGTAGAAAAGAGTCCAAATAAACTGATAACTACCACGATCAGCATAAATTATCTAGACCAGTGCTATCTAATAAGATAAACAGTGTGAACCACATATCTAATCTTAAGTGTTCTAGTAGCTAAATTAAAAAAATAAGAACAGGTGAGGGAGTGAGCACAGAGGCTCATTCCTGTAATCCCAGCACTCTGGGAGGCTGAGGCAGGAGGATCACTTGAGCTCAGGAGTTTGAGACCAGCTTTAGCAACACAGTAAGACCTCATCTCTACTGAAAACAGAACAAATTAGCTTGGGCTGGGCATAGTGGTTCATGCCTTTAACCTTAGCACTCTAGGAGGCCAAAGCCTCAGATTGCTTGAGTTTAGGACTTTGAGTCCAGTCTGAGAAAGAGCAAGACTAAGACTCAGTCTCCACTGAAAAATGGAAAAAATAAGCTAGGTGTTATGGCAGGTGCCTGCAGTCCCAGCTACTTGATAAGCTGAGGCACAAGGATCACTTGAGCCCAAGAGCTTGAGGATGCTGTGAGCTATGATGATGCCACAG